AAAAAAAAAAAAAGAAAAGACCTTAAGTTCCTCTTCCAAGAAAAAAAAAGGGCAAAGGTTATGCTGAAATGAACTATCCTATTTGTTCTTAAAATATATATTCTGTCTTTCTTCTCCCAAATCCAGTATACTATAATTTTTTACCAACCCCCTTCCCCAACCCAACCACTCCATATTTATTTTCAGCTTCAAATTTCACGTACAAGCCTGGATCCGGGCTCTGGTGAGTGCTCCTGTGATCCACAGACAGACTCATAAAAACTCCTAAGGGAGGTATTTTAAAGCTAAGGACCAACACACCTAGTGAGACCAAACTATTTACAGTTACTCCACACAGTGTGTCTCAGCATCACTTCTATCGACATTCAGGGTCAGATCATTCTCTGTTGGGGGAGGGGGGGCCTGTCCTATATTTTGGACAAGGTACAGCGGGCTCCAAAGCCTCTACTCACGAAACACCAGTAGCACGCCCACCTCTCCCCAGTTCTGGCACCTAGAAATGTCTGCAAGCATTGCCAAATGCCTGGGAGCAAAATCGCCCCTGTTGAGAACCACTGCTCTGGAAACATACCAAAGTCATAGTTACTTAATTCATGTCTGTATGGGAGAAGCTCTGGCATCAGAGATAAAGCCATAATGTTTTCTTTATATTCAAGGAATTTATAATCTCAAAACTCCTCACCTAGAATCACCACCTCATCATACATCTCATTACAGAATTATTTTCAAGAGACTAGAGAACTCTCTAGAAAATCTCTTAACCTCTCTGCCCAATACAAAGTTAAGGGGGTAACTGACAATTATCATTCAAGTCTGATTAATGTCAGAATTTTTCTTCATAATTCAGATAAAAAATGTTATTTGTTAACCATACTATTTATTAATCAGGCAACTGTCTGTTCTTTGTATGTGGACTCTCAGCCACAATATATCATAAATTAAACTAAATCTGTGTGTGTTCATATATATACTGTTATGTAACTATTGCATGCACATTATAGACAATTAAAACAAATAAGCAATTTTAGAAGTCATAAGTAATCCCATCACCCATATACAGTCATTATTTCCATTTTGCAGTATCTAACAGTTATTTTATATCGTAAATTCCATTTCAGGATATTTACTAAACCAGA